AATTTATTTAAAAATAAATAAATTTTAAATATTTTAAAATTAAATATCCTGAGGTGTCTTTCTGAGAAATCATCTTTTTTGATCAGCAAGTCATCACCTCCTACTCCAACCAATGTCCTTGGTTACCCCTCTACCTTTTAGTGCTCATCCAAACGTAAATCAATCCCCATCCCCAATTTCTAAATGATAAATTAATTAATTTATTAATTCTAAATGATAAATTAATTAATTTCTTCCTGTAACAACAGAGAAAGATTGAGGAGTCTTTTCTCCACCCGGGCTCTGTCTAACCTGGATTTCAATGACTTGTCTTCAATAGGAAGAAGAACAAATCTCACCGGGACATTAAGAGGATGCTGTGTGAATGTCCTCCTCTCTCCAAAGAAGAACGAGCTCAGGGGGAGGTTGCTTGTGGAGAAGACTGTCTCAATCGCCTGCTCATGATAGAGTGGTAAGTACTAGTTCATGAGATGACCAGAGTTGGGTGATTGGGTGGTCTCATCCATGAGATGATTTAGGAGCTCTTAAAATAATCCAGATTTTCCTGAGTGGTGGCAACAAGCTGCCTGGGTGATCTCATTTTCACTGGCTGATGTGGATTGTATCTTCAGAGCTTACCTACCAGCATTTAAACCTGACCTTAGATCTTCTGCAGGAGGTTGGACCTTAGCAACTTCTTGTTAAAACCTGCTACAAATGTCTGGTGTCTTCTGCTCCTCAGCCTTAACTCTGGTCCATCATCAGCATGGTTGGAGGGAGTCTGAAATACAAACATAGCTCTGCTTGAGCTCCTTATTTCTCCTCATTTCTGTTTTTGCATCTCTCTCCTCTCCCCAGAGCCTCACCAGGAGACCTCTCTTTGTCTCCTTTGCCTTCCTGGAAGAGGCTTGGAGAAGGATTCACCCCCTGGCACAAGAATTGTCACCAGCTGGGGATGGAAAGAGAGGAATTCACCTGGCAGAACCTCTGCCCTTTGATTTTTATTCCATAGCCCAGGCAGTAGATGTAGGGGAAGGGGATATCTTGGGGGAGGAACCCAGAAAAACATGGAGAGAAGAGGCAAATTCATCCCATTTTGATTCTAGGACATTAAAATACGGCGACATTCACATTCCCAATGTTTTGATCTTCCTTCCAGAAAGAAATTGTCTGCATTTGCATGTTGACAGTCAGATGCTGATGCTTTTTATAGCAAAACTCGTTTGAAGGTTTTACACTGAATTTATTATGGTTCCTTGGTATCTTCTTTCCCATCTGAGCTGTTTCTCTTCTCGCTGTTGGGAATTGATTTGTTCCTTTTCCTTCCCTTTAGTTCTTCCAGGTGCCCAAACGGTGATTACTGCTCCAACAGACGTTTCCAGAAGAAACAGCATGCAGATGTTGAAGTGATCCTCACTGAAAAGAAAGGCTGGGGCCTGAGAGCTGCCAAAGATCTGCCATCGTAAGCCTTTGCTCTTTGAATCTCATCCCCGTGCTGTTTTACTCCCTCGTGAAGGGAAAATGAGTTGCTTGTGTCTTCTTCATTCACTACTGAGGTTCTTCCAGCTTTATATACTGTCCTTGTCCTCTGCCAAGTGTCCCTCTTAATTATTGACACCTGCGTATCCACTAATTGCATGTTGGATCTCCCACTCTGGTTTTGTTCTCTTCTCATTAGGGTTTCTGACAGTCTTGCCATGGATTCATCTTGTCTTTAATCTGTCTTCTTGTCTTTCTCTGTCCACACTATATGGTGTCAGAGGAGTACACACTCTAGATGTGTTCTTCTCCTCCTCCTCCTCCTCCTCCTGGACTGGGCACTGGTGAGGCCGCAGCTGGAGTGCTGGGTTCAGTGTTGGGCCCCTGAGTCCAAGAAGGACATGGAGGTGCTGGAGCGTGTCCAGAGAAGGGCAACGGAGCTGGGGAAGGGTCTGGAGCACAAGTGTGCTGAGTTCCCTTGTGGCTGAGGGAACTGGGGGTGTTGAGCCTGGAGAAAAGGAGGCTGAGGGGAGACCTTGTGGCTCTGTGCAAGTCCCTTGGAGGAGGGTGGAGAGAGGTGGGGGTGGGTCTGTTCAACCAAGGCCCAAGGGACAGGCCAAGAGGAAATGGGCTGAAGTTGTGGCCAGGGCAGTTGAGATGGGATGTGAGGAAGAATTTCTTTGCTGCAAGGGTTCTGAGGCATTGGAAGGGGTTGCCCAGGGCAGTGGTGGAGTCCCCATCCCTGGAGGGATTGAAGAGTCGTGTAGACACAGTGCTGAGGGACATGGGTTAGTCATAGGGGACTGGTCAGTGTTGGGTTCATGGTTGGACTCCATGATCTCAAAGGTCTTCTCCAACCAAACAATTCCATGATTCTATGATACCTGCCTAAAACACTGACTAGTCAGTCCAGGTGGAGCTGGGCAGGAGCTTTTGCTTTCCCAGTGCTCTCCTGGAAAGCACAAGGAACGAGTTGAAGGGTTCAGGGTGATATTAACCAGGGGAAGACTTAGGACAGGTATCAAGAAAAGCTGTTCCATGATGCATTGTGGTGGCCTGTGGGGTTTGAAGCTTGACTGCACTGCAGGATGCAAGCTCTGAGGTTTGTGTCTTGAGTATAGAGGTAACTGCTTGTTCTCTTCTATCTCTGCTTTAAAATTCACCTTTTTATGGTTAAAAAGGATATTTAATTAACCCTTCATTTCACCCACCAGACCAGCAAAGTGCAGGCAGGTTTTCCATTTCCACTGAGGAAATCCACCTGCCAGCACCTTCTCTTCCTACTTATTTTCCTCTTCACATCACCCTCAAGGTCTTGTTCCTTTACAGGATAAACCCTGCTCAAAGGAGGAGCTTTATTTTCGTGTCTGGGCTTTTTGCTGTGATACACCTACCTATGTGATAGCATTAAAATAATAAATTAATTAGAATTGGTTGAGATTAAGGTGTATAATTATCATAACTACACCCCCAAGATGAGCAGGTTGTATTCAGTCAGCCCATCTCAGCAGCATTTCTTTTCTCAGTGTTTCTTGCTTGTGACTAAACAGAGTGATTCTTTTTCCCCCCCCTCTTTTGACTTTACAGCAACACTTTTGTCTTGGAGTACTGTGGAGAAGTGCTGGATCACAAGGAGTTCAAGGCTCGGGTGAAGGAATATGCCCGGAATAAGAACATTCACTATTATTTCATGGCCCTGAAGAATGATGAGGTGAGTGGTGTCATCACTGTGTGTGGTTTTGGGGGAGGCTGGTTGGGCTCAGCCCTGGTTTTGTTCAATGCTGACTCCCTGTGAAGCCACTAAGCAACGTTCTGAATCTATGAAAAATGGTTTCTTCAGGAAAGGAGATTTTAGGTGGCTTTGTGTTGTCAGACCACATTTTTTTTAACCCATTCTTCAGTTTCAACCTGGTTTATTAGAAGTCTGGTGGCTTAACTCTATCCCAGTGTCCTTGGAGAGGAGACATTGTCCTCCTAAAGGAAAGGATGGAGTATGGCCAATCCCTTCCACACAAGCAAACCTCTATGGGAGAGAAACCACATCTGTGTCCCAGCTTTTATCTTACCCCTGGCCTGGGCACTGGTGAGGCCACAGCTGGAGTGCTGGGTTCAGTGTTGGGCCCCTGAGTCCAAGAAGGACATGGAGGTGCTGGAGCGTGTCCAGAGAAGGGCAACGGAGCTGGGGAAGGGTCTGGAGCACAAGTGTGCTGAGTTCCCTTGTGGCTGAGGGAACTGGGGGTGTTGAGCCTGGAGAAAAGGAGGCTGAGGGGAGACCTTGTGGCTCTGTGCAAGTCCCTTGGAGGAGGGTGGAGAGAGGTGGGGGTGGGTCTGTCCAACCAAGGCCCAAGGGACAGGCCAAGAGGAAATGGGCTCCAGTTGTGGCCAGGGCAGTTGAGATGGGATGTGAGGAAGAATTTCTTTGCTGCAAGGGGTCTGAGGCATTGGAAGGGGTTGGCCAGGGAAGTGGTGGAGTCCCCATCCCTGGAGGGATTGAAGAGTGGTGTAGACACAGTGCTGAGGGACATGGGTTAGTCATAGGGGACTGGTCAGTGTTGGGTTCATGGTTGGACTCCATGATCTCAAAGGGCTTTTCCAATCCAGGCCATTCTGTGATAGCTGGAGCAGGAAAAGGTGATGACTTCTACATGGGTTGTATTCAAACACACCATGTTTGTAGCTCTGTTGCTCCCTATTTCTGCCTGGCACAGAAAGAGGGAGGCTGTTTTACGCTGTTTTACTCTGTTTTACTCTATTTGTTGTTTCTTTTCTTTGCTTTTCAGATCATCGATGCTACCCAGAAAGGAAACTGCTCTCGTTTTATGAACCACAGCTGTGAACCAAACTGTGAGACACAAAAGGTAAACTGCTGCATCAAAGCTCCTGCCTTCTCCCTTCCTCTCCCTTGCAACTCAGCGAGCTCAGTGAAAAGCTTTCCTCCTTTATTTTGGGTTTATTTTGGGTCTGTTTGTTTTGAGATTTTTTTTTTGTTGTTGTTGGAACTTAGTGAAATGGAAACAGTTACCTATGAAATGGGCAAGTAGAGCCAAACCCATTAACAAATTTTAAATGTATTAATGTATTCAAAATGTATTTAAATGGATTAAAAAATGCTGTTTGAAGGGTTATTCTTGGTAATTTAAAGCCAAAACCAGAGTCAAGCCTGGCTTTTGCACTAATTCTTGTCATCTTTTCTCTTCCCTTAGTGGACTGTGAATGGGCAGCTCAGAGTTGGATTTTTCACCACCAAACTGGTCCCATCAGGCTCAGAGCTGACCTTTGATTACCAGTTCCAGCGATACGGGTACGTTTTAACTCTGCTTAAGCTGCTGGAAATGGGATTTTGGGAATGTTGGTGTGATGAATAAATCCTGCTCTGCAACAAACCATTGCAAAGCCTCATTCAGCAGAGCTGCTGGAAATGAGCTGCAATTCACCTGTATTAAAAAAACCAACCTGGCTCCAATCTCTTCCATTTCTAACACAGGAGATTGGGGGGAGGAATTTCCCATTCATTTAAGTTTTGGGGTGGTTTTTTTTTTCTGTGTTACTTTATTACCTTTTTGTTCCACTTCACACCATCTCTCCTCAGTGGAAATTTCCCAAAGAATTCTCTTGATTGTTTCTTTCCTCTGTCTAATTATTAATTACCCAAGCTCCAGCCTTTGCGATACTCTTCAATAATGCCTCTTCTTCCCCACCCCACCCCTTGTTTTACGACTTTGCAAATACTTGCAGAGCTGTAAAACCCCAACAGATAACACATTCCCTCTTCCTGGCTGATTCCAGGAGTGCAGGTGTGCAAGCTCCAGCGTGGGCTTTGGCTCCTTACTCTAAACCTGAGCCTAATATTCTTTATATTACTGCTTGTCCTTCTATATGCTGAATTATTTCACTCTCTTTCATGCAATTAGCACAAAATAGTGTCTGACAGGCTTGAAGAACCATGTAATTATGAGATTAATTGTAAATCCATTTTATAATTCCTAGGTTTTACTGAAGATCTCATAGCAGCCTTCCAATACCTGAAGGGGGCCTACAAGGAAGCTGGGGAGGGACTTTTCATAAGGGCAGTTAATGACAAAACAAGGGGAAATGGGTTTAAGCTGAAAGAGGGCAGGTTTAGATTAGATATTAGGAAGAAGTTCTTCACTGTGAGGGTGGTCAGACACTGGAACAGGTTGCCCAAGGAAGTTGTTGATGCCCCCTCCCTGGAAGTGTTCTCGGCCAGGCTGGATGAGGCTTTGAGCAACCTGATCTAGTGGAGGGTGTCCCTGCTGAAGGCAGGGGGGTTGGAACTAGATGATCTTTGAGGTCCCTTCCAATCCAAACCAATCTATTCTATGATTCTATGAATACAGTTGTTTAAGGAAGGTCTCTTCCTTTTCCCTCTGGTTCCAGCTTTATGCAACACTCTCTACAGAAGAATCAGAAATGAATTTTTAATTGCATTATAAAATTATTTATATTAAAGTGTCAGGTGCTGTCATGTAGTTTTTTTGATCCTGATGCAATCTTGCAGCAAGGCAGGCAAACTTAAACCTGTTTGATATCTAGGCACGTGGGAATATCTCTAAAACTGAGGGAAATATATAATATACAGTCTACACACCCAGAATTTTAATTTTGTCTATATATGGCTTAATCAAAATTATTAAGGGTTTTGTATTCTGACCCTGTTAGGGCCTCTCTGATGGAGAATCATTTTGATTTATAAATATATTGATTCACTCTGATATCTTGTATATTTGAGTTCAGTGAGCCTAGTCTTGTCTTGCTGGAGTTTTCCAGCTCTGATCTCTTTGGACATCCTTCCTGAGCTGAGGTTCTGCTTCACAGAAGATCCTGCTTCCCTGTTTTTTACCATGGTCCTCCAGTGGATTATGTACATTTCCAAAAAAAAAACCCCAAATCATTCTCCCAAGCAATTATGGCATATAGTTTAAAATTTATGGTGTGTCAAGTAGAAAATATAGAGGCTTTGTTGAAATATTGCCTGATTAGAATATAATTTAAATCTCTTCTGCCCTCCATGGCAAAAAACCCTCTTCCACCTGAATTTTACTGCTTCCACAAATCCTCGGACCATTCTTTATTCTGCAAATAAAATACAAACCCTTTTTCCTAATGAAGATATAATCTCAGTTGATTGCAATGTGTGATAAGAAGTTACTAGATCCAAAACCACCACTTTTTCCTTTCTGGTTCTTGGTTCTTCACCTACCAAGAGCTTGGAACTGCAGCAGGCTTTGGTTTCCAGCTCAGACAACAGGGGATCATTGGAGCTGTGTAAGAAATCACAGAATCCCAGAAATCATAGAATCCCAGACTGGTTTG